CGTATTGGGGCGTCCTTGGGACGTCGTGAGGCCGCCTTGGGCCGTCGTGGGGCTCTCTCGGTTCGTCTTGGGGCCGCCTGGAGCGTTGCTTGCGCCATGTTGTGGCGATACGATAGGGGGGCCGTCGTGGAGCGTCTGAGGCCTTGTGGGTGCCGTCTTGGGGCGTCCTTGGGACGTCGTGAGGCCGCCTTGGGCCGTCGTGGGGCTCTCTCGGGGAGGACTTGGGCCTTTTGGGAGGGATCCAGGGGGCCTCGTGGACCTTCTTGGAGCGTGAGAAGCTAGAAAGGCGAAAACTCGAAAACGTCTGAAACAAACCTTAAGGAAATCAACGACTTTTGATCTGAAGCTCTGTTGGGGGTGCTCTTGGGGCTGGTTTGTGGCGTCTTGGGCACTCTCAAACGACCGAGACGCCAAAGCAGGCGAACGGCTCGAGGCTTCCCATTTATGTTTGCACGAGCAGGCCTGAAATACACCCTTGGCGGCTCCCCCCGCCCAAGTGCCATGCTTGCTATATCGCGGGCAGTGGTCACATGGTCTGAGTGCGCGTGAGTCTGGGTGCGAATGAATCTAAGTTGGTGAGTCCGAGTGTAGTTTGAGGGCGGGTGAGTTTGAGTGTGAATAAGTCTGAATGCGGGTGAATGGGTGTCGGCGCGAGCGGGTCTCAGCCAGAGCGAGTCAGAGTGTGAGTGAGTCTGAGTGTGATGAGTCTGAGTGTGATGGAGTCTGAGAGTGAGTGAGTCTGAGTGCGAGTTGGTTTGAGTGTGAGCAGGTCTGGGTGTGCGTGAGTCTGAGTACAAGCGGGAGTGAGTATACGTGATTGAGTGCGGGCGAGTCTGATTGTGAGCGCGTGTGAGTGTCAGTGGGTGTGAGTGTGAGTGGTCTAATGGAGGAGGCGGCAGTCAAGAGGTAAAGAGTCGGAGGCATCACATTAATCACAAAAAAAACCCTGCTCAGGATACGGCGAATAGAACTAAGCAACTGGCCTCTCGCCCTACCCACCCTCCCGCCGACATTCGCCTTCTTTCCCCGCGGTTGGGACCTCTCCCCGCAGCCCCGCTCAAAGGCCAGGAACGCCTAAAAGATACGACCCTCTTCTTCCGAGGAAGATAGGAGGAGGAAGAGGAGGAGGAGGAGGAGCTGGAGGCTGAGGACGGCGACGGCCAAATTATGCGATTGGGATTCCCCACATAAGGGGTTCTCGTTGAGCCGAGGTGGGAATGGTGCAGGCTCCAAGGAGGAGCAAGCGCCAAACTGGTACCCGCGCGGCTGGCGCGGTCTGACGAGGTTTCCCAGGAGGGGCGAAGGCGTTACTGGCGGAGCTGGTGGACACTGGCGATGCTTGTGGGTACTGGAAGGGCAAACGCGATAGTGAGTGGGCTGGCAGAGTGGGAAGGGCGCGAAGCCTCATAAATTAAAGGGTGCCCGCCTAACGGGCTCGGTCATGAGCGGCCTCCCAGGAGGAGCAGACACGATATTGGCGCGGCTGGGTGGAGTGGAAGGGCACGATCCTTGTGGATAACGGGGTACCCGCACCGTGGGCGCAGCCTGGTGCGGCCTCCCAGAAGAAGCAAGCGCGGAATTGGGCGGGCTGGTTGGGGCTGGTGGAGTGGAAGGGGATGCGATGTTGATGCGGATATCGGTGGAGCGGGCGGAGTGGACCCGCATAGCTGGCGCGGTCTGACGCGGCCTCCCAGGAGGAGCAAACGCGATATTGGCGGGGCTGGCTGGGTGGGAAGGGAACGTGACACTGGTGAGGCTGGTGGAACGGGAAGGACGCGATGGTTGATAGATAGTTGGGTGCCCACATAGGTGTCGCGGTCTGACTCGGCCTGCCAGGAGGGGTAAACGCGCTACTGGTGGGACTGGTGGAGAGGAAGGGCACAGCCCCTTTATCAATAACATGGTGCCCACATAGCGGCCGCGGTCTGACGCGGCCTCCCAGGAGGAGCAAACGCGATATTGTTGGGGTTGGTGGAATAGGAAGGGCAGGATACCTGATGAATAACCAGGTAACCGCATGGCGAGCACGGTCGGGCGCTGCCTCCCAGGAGGAGCAGACGCGATATTGTTGGAGTTGGTACAGCGTGAAGCGCACAACTTTGGACAAATAGCACGGCGCCCGCAAAGCCAACGCGGTCTGACCCGGCTTCCCAAGTAACAGGGTGTTCGCGTAGCGGGTGCAGCACATGTGGGATGACGTGGGACGAGTGGGATTCGTGCAGCACATGCGGGATGAGGTGGGACGAGCGCAGAGTGGCAAAAGGAGGAGGGTGGCAGGAGGAGGAGGGAAGGGGGAGGAGGGGAAGAAGAAGGAGTGGGAGATGGTTTGAGAAAACAATGGCACCACGCAGCATGTCGGGGAAAATTAGAAAGGGCTCAAAAACCTCAATCCTGTTATCACCCTCCATACTGCGCCTCCTCCTTAGTTTCCTCAATCCTGCTCTTCCCTCTCATACTCTGTCCTCGGTCCTCGATCCTCCGCCTCGATCCACCTCCTCCTGCTCGATCCTCCTCCTTGTGCGCGCCGCCAGCATTCTCCACAACAGCGACTCACACTACGACTAAGACTACGACGACGACGACGACGACGACGACGACGACGACGACGACGACGACGACGACGACGACGACGACGACGACGACGACGACGACGACGGTGGCGGCGGCGGCGGCGACGACGGCGGCGGCGGCGGCGGCGACGGCGATGGCGACGGCGATGACAACGAAGACGACGACGACGACGTAAACGATGGCGACGACGACGAAGACGACGACTTAGACTAAGACTCAGACGACGACGACGGCGACGACGACGCCGACGACGACGACGACGGCGACGGTGAAGGCGACCGAGGCGGCGGCGGCGACGGCGACGGTGGCGGCGGTGATGGTGACGGTGATGGCGGCGGCGACGACGACGACGACGATGGCAACGGTGACGACAGCGACGGCGACGGGGACGGCGACGGCGACGACGGTGATCACGACGACGACGACGATGACGACGACGGCGACGGCGACGACGGCGACGGCGACGGCGACGGCGGCGGCGATTGCGACTGCGGTGACGACAACGACGAAGACGGAGGCAGCGACGGCGACGGCGACTGCGACGGCGGTGACAGTGACGGCGACGGCGACGACGGTGACGGTGATGGCGACGGCGACGGCGACGGCGACGGCGACGGCGACGGCGACGACGACGACGGTGATCACGACGACGACGACGACGGCGACGGCGACAGCGCCAGCGGCGACGGCGACGAATAAAACAGCGACGGCGACGGCGGCGGCGACGGCGACGACGATGGCGACGGCGACGGTGACGGGGACGGCGACGGCGATGGCGATGGCGACAGCGACGGCGACGACGGCAACGACGGTGACCACGACGGCAACGACGGCGATGGCGACTGCGATGGCGACTGCGACGGCGACGGCGACGGCGGCGACGGCGACGGCGATGGCGATGGCGACGGCGCCGACGGCAACTGCGACGGCGACGGCGACGGCGGTGACGGTGATGGCGACGGCGACGGCGACGGCGACGGTGACGACGACGGCGACGGCAACGACGGTGATGACGACGACGACGACGACGACGACGACGACAACGACGACGATGGCGGCGACGGCGATGGCGACGGCGACGGCGACGGTGACGCCGCCAGCGACGACGGCGACGGCCACGGCGATGACGACGGCGACGGAGACGGCGACGGCGACGGCGACGGCGACGGTGACGACGGCGGCGACGGAAACGGCGACGGCGACGGCGACGACGACGGCGACGGCGACGGTTGCGGCTGCGACGGCAATGGCGACGGTGACGGCAACGGTGAAGGCGATGGCGACGGACACGGCGACGACGGCGACGGCGACGGCGATTGCGACGGCGACGGCGACGGCGACGGTGACGGTGACGGCGCCAGAGACGACAGAGACGACGGCGACGACGACGACGACGGCGATGACGACGGCGACGGTGGTGGCGACGACGATGACGACGACGGCGACGGCGACGGCGGTGACGGCGACGGCGACGGCGACGGCGGCGACGGCGACGGCGACGGCGACTGCGGTGACGATGATGGCGATGGCGACGACGGACGACGGTGATTGTGACGAAGACGGCGACGGCAACGTCGGTGACCACGACGACGACGACGACGGCGACGACCACGACGGCGGCGACGGCGACGGCGACGGCGACGACGACGACGACGACGACGAGGACGACGACAGCGACGGCGACGGCGACTGCGACGAGAACGGCGACGGCGACGGCGACGGTGACGGCGGCGACGGCGACGGCGACGGCGACGGTGACGGCGACGACGGCAACGGCAACGGCGACAGCGACGACGACGACGACGACGGCGACGACGACGACGACGACGGCGACGGCAACGGCGACGGCGAGGGCAACTGCGACAGCGACGGTGACTGCGCCAGCGGCGACGGCGACGGCGATGACGAATGCGACGGCGACGGCGACAACTCGGGATGAAGAGCCTGCCCTAGGGAAGAGCTCCAGGATCCAGGACCCGTTTCCCAGGGCATCCCCCAAGGGCGCGAAAATGGGCGTGGAGCAGATTGAAGAAGCGCCCTTCTCCAGGGCTGCGGTGCGGGGCGCGAAGATACCGCGCATCGCGGGACGCGATGCGCGAGGGTAGGTGACCCAGGTTCCCCCTCAGGACCCGATGCTTCTATATGCCTCAGCATCGTTGAACCGACCCCCATCCCATGGCCATCCCATTCCAGGCCCTCACCATCGCACCACCCCCGTTGGGGGTACACCCATCGAAACCCAAAGGAAACGGCCAATATCCCCATCTAGGGGGGTAAACCGGCCAGTGGGGCCCAGGCCACGCCCATGGGGACAGGGGTCGGTTAAACGGCGCTCAGCTTCAGGACCCGTTGCCTCCGTGTCAGCCATCCGCCCGCCGGCCCCGCCCCGCCCGGCCGCTCCCCCACCTCCGCCGCGAGAGAGCCGCCAGGCCGCCGCCGGGCCCGGAGCGCCCAGGCCCCCCGCCTGGCGCTCCGTGGGGAGGGAGTTGCCCGCCCGCGGGGGGGGTCGGGAGGGAAAGATAGACACAGACACAAACAAACGTCGAGTCCCAGCAAAATGAAAATGGGAAAACATGGGAAGTGGAGGGGAAGACGAAAATCCAGAACATGTGGAAAGAAGTATGGGGGATCCTGGGAGTTGTGTCTATTTATTTGTGTGTCCCTGGGCCCTCCCCGTCCATGCCGCCCAGATGAGGTCGAAGTAGACGGGGTCGGAGGATCGCCCCGCATCGCCCATGTATCGGCGATGTGGATCGATGTCGATCCCGATCTTCTCCACGCTGGCGTCGCCGATGCGTCGCCGACGTCGCCCATGCGTCGCCGATGCAGCGTGACCCTCCGACCCCAGTTACGCGGAACCCATTTGGGAGGCCTCTGGGGACGGGGCTGGAAGATTCTCGGAGACGGTCGGAGGATTTACATGGGTTCTCGGCCGCGTTCTGAGCCCGGGAGGGTTTCCATCTCACCCGCCTCGTCGAGGGCGGCCCAGGGATGCCAGCATCGTCCCGAGCGGCCGCCTGGTGCCCGAGAGACAGTCCAAAAACCCAAAGGTGGGCAGGAGGAGGAGGAGGAGGAGGAGGAGGAGGAGGAGGAGCGGGGGGGTCCTCGTCCTTGCCCTTCGCCTAGTGACCTCGCCTGTGTCAACATATTCGCCGCTCCTCCGCTCGTGTCGAAATATATTCTTGCTCGTGCCGATGTATTTCATCGTCCTTGTCCTTCGCCTTGACACCCCCTCCAGCTCCAGCTTGTCATCGTCTTTTCCTCCCCCCATTCCTCCTCCACATCATCACACGCCTCTTCAAACTCGTTCTCCTCCATGTTCCCTCATCCTCGTCCTCGTTGTCGTCGTGGTGTCACTGGCGTAGTCGGCTCGGTTCGCCAAACGATCCCCCGTGTTGAAGTGGCTGTTGTGGTCGAGTGTGTTCGGTATGTTGACAGGCCCCAGGACCCACAGGTGGTCACCGACCACGCCAATATTGTCAAAGCTTTCCTTGCGGGCCACACGGCCTCGGCGAGGCTTGCCAAGTTCGACCTTTGGTGGGAGTTTGGGGGCCTACTGGCAGCTCGCTCTGGTGCTTTTTGGATTTCTCACGTTCCCAGCCACCTCCTGGAGGACTCCCAAAAGCTCGCCGTTTTGGCGACGCTGCGGACTGGGAACATGTTGTGCTTAATCCCGTCGCCGACGAGTTGACCGAAATTCGTTCGACCGAGTGCCAGGTTTCTTTTGATGCTGTGCGGGATTATAACGAGTTACTTTATTCGGCCTGCCTCATCCTCAAGCGTAATGCGTCGGTGAGTATTGGTTGTGCTGTATTTCGCGCAGAACCCACTCGGCGCCTGACCAAGCAGCACATCGTGTCTGATGTCAGGGGATCGTCGCAAGTTTGGGGTTTCGACTTCGATGTCTGGTCCTGTGGGATGTGCAAGGCCTCGGTTTCCGATCCTGCTCCCTCCCTCCGTGCGCGTCTATGTTCTAGTTGCCCTGCTTCTGGAGGTGGAGGTGCGGCGCCGTTGGGGGAGAAGGCGGAGGTTTCGACCAGGCCAAGGCGCCAGCTACCTCCTAGGGACGACTCCCTATGGAGGAGGTTGGCCATTGACCCGCTGCCTGAGCATGTCTCGCCCTGGGTGGCTGGGAATCCTGTCCACCCCTCCCACATTTTTTTGTGGCAGAAGGGCTCATTTACATTTTGCGGTGAATGAGGATCGTGGGCCACAGCTCGCCCAAATTCCTTGCGGGAGCCCTGCCTGCCGCCATTTTGGGGCCGCACGCTATCACCCTTCACCAGCTCGAGGTCTTGCAACTTCTGCGCAAAGGGCTCCCGCCATCCAAGACTTCTCGCTGCTGGTTGCACTAATTGTCTTGCCCTGCCCGTCAACCCCTGCACGTGTTGCATTCTGAAATTTGGTTGGCAGCGGTGCGCTGCAAATCCTCCTCTTCTTCCTCCCCCTCCTCTTCTTCCTCTTCCTCCTCCTCCTGCTCCTCCTCCTCCTCCTCCTCCTCCTCCTCTTCCTCCTCCTCCTCCTCAAGCCTTCGGCCAGGGACCCAGAGCATCGAGGGACGAGGATCGAGGGCGCGTCTCGAGTGTTTTCGGGCTTTCCGAACTTTCTGGAGGTTCTCTCGCTTTGGGATGCTTTCCAGCAGCCGCGCCTCGTCGAGAGCCTTCCAGGGGAACCCTGGTCGTCCCGAACGGCCGCCAGAAGCCCGAGTTATGACTGGTGGGGGCGCTCGAGGAGTGGAACGCGATGAGGAACCAGACATGCTCGCGCCGTGGACAAAAACTCAGCGGGAGGTTTTTGCTAATGCTCGGCCTCCCAGGCCCCCCGCTGGGCCGCCAGGCCGTCAAGAACGACTCGGGATGAAGAACCGTCCCTGGAGAAACCCGAAGATCCGACGTCTCGAAAAAAATGAGACACCATGAAAATGACAACTGGAGCCCCAGACTCCATCTTTCTACGCCATTTTTCAAAACCAGATCCATCTGTCAGGGTCCTGGGGCCCGAAACTGAGCGAAATGTCCAGCTCGCAAAATTTGAATCGCCTGGATCTCAAGGAAGGGTCCGGACTTCTGGGGGCCGCGAACTGACAAGATCAATACGTCGGGTGTTTGGGGAGGGGCGTGCCGAGCAGCCAGTGCCCCGGGCCGCCCCTGCACTGGCTGATGCTCCTCGACCAGTGTGGACTTTGCGAAGGGGGCCGGCACGGCGGATACCGCGTCGTCCCTGAGGGCGGCAAGGGAGGGAAAGGGGAGGGGTCGAGGATCGGCTTTTGGACGAGTGGGGCGCTCTTTGGGGGGCACCCGTGGTCAAGGCTGGATCCGATTCATGATTCCCGGTCGAGACGCACACCCGCAGAGGTGGGTGGAGGGGTCGAAGGCTTGTAGGCTCGAAGCTCGAGGAGCGTGGCTTTGGGAGGTGTGGATGTCTTTGGAGGTGTTGGGTTACCAGGGGCCTCCTGGGGGCCTCCGGGGACCCCCGGAGGCACCCAGCGAACGCTGGAGACCCCCGGAAACGCACATAAAAAAGAAAAATTCAACCATCCAAAACTTACACCAAAGTCAAGAATCAAGACAATCAGTTTTCCGTCGAATCCGGCGTCTCTGTGAGGCCCGTTTCGGGCCCCAAGGCCATCTAAATCAACAGCCGCGGCGAAAAGCGGCCCTTTGGAGAAGAGGTCAAGGGTTACAGGTCGTCCGATCCTCGGACTACCTCCTCCTCATCGGAGGAGGATGAGGAGGAGGAGGCGAAAGAGGAGGAGGAGGACGACGACGACGACGACGAGGACGAGGACGAGGACGAGGACGAGGACGAGGACGACGACGAGGAGCCGGGAGGAGCAGGTGCAGCCAGGACGAGGAAGGGCCCTCGGCGACGGAGGGCCGTTGCCCCGCAGCGCGGCGGAGGCGCCTACGTGGACTACCCGCCCTGGGGGCGGCCTCCCGGGCCAGAAGGCGCGGCCCACGGCGCTCGGCCCCAGGCCTCCCTCGGCCAGAGCGCACGCGGGTCTCCCGAAAGCCTCCAGTGGGCCTCCCCGGCGGGGGCCTGCCCCTTCTGGGAGTCGCGCGCCCCCCGCCCCCCGCACGCGGGCCTTCCGTGGGCCTCCCCGGCTCGGGCCTCCCCCTCTGCCCAGAGATCCGTGGCTCCGCAAGACTGGAGCGGCGGGTTCGGGGTCATTTTCGGCTTCCGGGGGCCCTCAGCGAGCCCCAGGAGCATCAAAAAGCCGGTTCAGGATGAGAAACCGGCCCCAGGGAAGTGTCCAGATTTACGGGCATCCACGCATCGAAGAAACGGGAGCGCTTGATGTCTGGGTGGGAATCGCGCCTGGAGGGATTCTCCAGCCGCCTCCAAGATGTGAGGCGCGCGCGCCAGCGAAGTGAAGGGGAAGAGGGGGAAGAGGGGGAGGAGGAGAAGGAGGAAAAAGGAGGAGGCGGAGGAGGAGGAGGAGCAGCAAGAGGAGGAGGAGGAGGAGGAGGAGGAGGAGGAGGGCCGGATCGATCCAGAGCGCTTCAGAACGCTCTGGAACGGCCGAGGCGCCCGATACAGCCTCCAGAGCCACCGGATCTCAGAGATCACATCATTATCTTGGTCCATGTTGTCCCTGTCCTTGCCTCGTCTTAAATTATTCGGAGGAAGAGAGGAGGGGAGGAGGAGGGGCAGGAGGAGGGGGAGGAGGAGGAGGGGGAGGAGGAGGAGGAGGAGGACCTGTGTGAACCCAAGACTCATCAACGATGTCACATAAAACCCCTTCTCAAAGTACCGCCGTCAGTCTATATAAGGATTCATTGTCACTTGGCGAAGTGCCCCGCTGGAGGAATACAGTTTGAAAATCCTGAACCGTGCCAAAACACCACTATTTGGATCTCAGCGCCGCGAATCAACATTATTGTTGCGTCCTTGGGATCCTGACTCGTGCCAGGACACCCTGCCTGGGTTTTTTTTTCAACACCGCGAATCAACGTAACTGCTGCGCCCTGACATTCTTACACCGTGCCATTTCAGTTTTCCCAGGGCGCCAGCCATAAGAATGTTTGAAACTCTTGCAGAATGTTCGGACGCGTGTGCGCAGCGCTAAAGCGAGAGCAACATGTTGAAAGCCACCCGCCCTCCATCCGCGAAACCCTAACACGTGATTAGGACGAATACGCGCGGCGCTTAGGCGAGAGCCACGTTGAAATCGGCTCGCCCTCCATCCGTGAAGCCCTTGCAAAGTTTAAGACGACTGCGCGCGGCGCTAAGGCGAGAGCCACATGTTGAAAGCGGCCCGTCTACCATCTGCGAAACTGTTGCGCATTCTCCGTTTAAGGATCATACATCGTGAGGAAGCCTCAGGCGAAACCCTTGGGCCGCCATACCGACACATTTCGAGGTGCGACAGGAAGGAGTTATTGAATCGCTTCGCTCATTCCGCTGGCCCGTATTGTGCCATCGCGGGCGTTTGCTTGCGCGGTCGCGAGCCAGGCGGCGCTGGTGGGCCGTGGTCGTTTTCCAGAGGCGCTGCGGCAGAACGCATGGGGATGAAGCAGTTTGTTTGGAGCTTGTTGTGGGGGCTTCGGTCTCTACTGTCTTACGAGGTGGCTATCTAGTGGTTTTCGGCCCATCCCGCCACCGTGCCTGGGTTGTAGGTCAGAGGCCTCTTGGATGTTCGTTGAGATATCGTGGCAGGCATTTTCGAGGATTTATTCGGAGGCAGTTTTGAGGGCTCTTGGGGGCCGTCGGAGGGTTTTTTGGTGGCTTCTGTTTAGGCCTCTTGGGGTCTCTTGCAGGCCTCTCGGGGCCTCATGGGGGCTGCTTGGGGCGAAAGTGTCGAATTGTCGGTTCGTGTTCCCTCTCTTGGGGCCCTCTTGGGGCTCTCTTGGGCCGTTCGGGCGTCTCGTGGGCCGTTCTGTTGCTGCTGCTGCTGCTGCTCCTCCTCCTCCTCCTGCTCCTCCTCCTCCTCCTCCCCCCCTCCTCCCCCTCGGAGCTTTGCGGTGATTCCTGCACGTTGTCGGGGTTCCCGAGGGTTCGCCCGGGGTCCGCCCCACCCCACTTCGGGGGGAAATACGAGGAGGAAGAGGAGAAAATGGAGGAGAGGGAGGTGAGGCAGGGATATGAGGGAGGGAGGGACGGATAGAAGGAGGTGGACGCGGAGGATGATGAGGGCGACCACTTCGAGGAGGATGGGGCCAATCGTGCTTGACATCCCACATCATACACGTTGCCGAATGCATACACATGTGGGCCGTTTGGGGATCGGTGATGCATGTGCGGTCTTTCCATTATTCATATTGTTGGTTGTGTCTACAGAACACACGCAACCGACAACCTCTCAGAATTCACGCTGACCTCCAGAGCCCCCACAGATTTCCAGGACCACCCCAAGCTCATCCTCATCCAATCGAAATTGGAGGGAAACGCAGTGAATGATCCAAGGGTGAGGGACGCGAGAGAAACTGAGCGTTGGGGATTTGGGGAGGGGGCATATCGGAGAGTTCATGGATGCTTCTGGGAGTCTCTTCTGGGAACACCAAGGAGCTTCTCAGGAGGAGTACTTGTGACCCTCTCGGGAGCCCTTGGAGGTTTCTGGGGAGCTTCTTGGGAGCTCTTGGAGGCCTCGTGGGGTCTTGGGAGCCTTTGGGAGCTTCGTGGGAGCTTCTTGGGAACTTTGGGAGGCCTCGTGGATGGCTCTGGGTGGGCCCTCTTGGTGGTCTCTTGGGGGGGGTTTGCCTGGCCTCTCGGGGGCCTCCTGGGAGTTTCCTGAGGGTCTCCTGGGGGCCTCTTGGGGCTTTCTTGCGGCCTGCCGGGGGCCTCTTGGGGCTCTTTCGGGGGCTCCGTGGGGCTACTTGGGGGCTTGTAGGGGCCTTTTTCGGGGGCGCGTTTGGGCGGGAGGCTCAAAATGTTCGTTCAGGTTGCCCCTGTGGACCTCAATCATGAGGCCGTCTTGGGGCCTCTTGGACCGTATTGAGGGTTTCTTGGGTTTTCTTGGAGCGTTCTTGGGCCGTCTTTGAGCGGTCTTGAGGGTATCGGGCCGTCTTGGGGTGATCTTGGGGGCCTCTTGGACCGCCTTGAAAGGTGTGAAAGACGAAGAGGCGGATATGTTAAAAATGCACGCTTCCCTAAGGGCGTGAAACGATTTTTGTTTGTGGGAGCCCTCTTGGGACGCCGCTCAGGGACCTCTTGGGGCGTCTTGAAGGCCCGTTGAGCCGTCTTGAGGCCATCGTAGGCCTTTGGGAGTGATATTTCGGCGTCTCCCGGCTCTCTTGGACCCTCTGGAGGGCTGCTCGGGCCCCTCTTGGACTGATTTGGAGCCCTCCTGGGTTCCGAAGAAGAGTTCTTGATGGTTTTTTGGGCCTTCTTGGAGCGCTTTTGGACCCTCTTTGAGCGGTCTAAAGGGTCTGTCGGGCCGTCTTGGGGTGATTTGGGGGGCCTCTTGGACCGCCTTGAAAAGGTGTGAAAGACGAGGGGGCAGATATGTTAAACATGCACGTTTTCTCAAGGGAATGGGACGATTATTGCTAGTGGGAGCCCTCTTGGGACGCTGCTCAAGGTGCCTCTTAGGGACCTCTTGGGGCGTCTTGAAGGCCTGTTGGGCCGTCTTGAGGCCATCGCAGGCGCTTGGGAGTGATATTTCGGCGTCTCCCAGCTCTCTTGGACCGTCTGGAGGGCTTCTCGGGCCCCTCTTGGACCGATTTGGAGCCCTCCTGGGCTCCGAAAAAAGAGTTCTTGAGGGTTTCTTGGGCCTTATTGGAGCGCTCTTGGGCCGTCCTTGAGCGGTCTTGAGGGTCTCTCGGGCCGTCTTGGGGTGATCTTGGGGGCCTCTTGGACCGCCTTGAAAGGTGTGAAAGACGAAGAGGCGGATATGTTAAAAATGCACGTTTTCCCAAGGGAATGGGACGATTATTGCTTGTGGGAGCCCTCTTGGGGCGCCGCTTAGGGACCTTTTGGGGCGTCTTGAAGGCCTGTTGGGCCGTCTTGAGGCCATCGCAGGCGCTTGGGAGTGATATTTCGGCGTCTCCCGGCTCTCTTGGACCGTTTGGAGGGCTTCTCGGGCCTCTCTTGGACCGTTTGGAGCCCTCCTGGGCTCCCAAAAGGGACCTTGCCGGGAGTCTGCCGGGACCTTGCCGGGAGTTTGCCGGGACCTTGCCGGGACTTCGCCGGGACCTTGCCGGGATTTTGCCGGGATATTTTTCGTCCGGGGACCCCGGGCCCGCCCCGCGCGCGCGAACTAGGAGATCTTAGCACGCCTCTGGCCCGTTGGGCCAGCGAATTTGTAAGGAAAAGAGAAGGAGGAGAATGAGGAGGAGGAGGAGGAGGAGAAAGATGAGGAGAAGGAAAAGAAGGCGGGGGAGGCGGAAGAGCAGGAGGAGGAGGGTGAGGACCAGTGCAAATCCAAGACGCGTCAACGGTGTTGCAATAACCTTCCGCACTCCATTCTCATAGGCCCCTACAAGATCTGATGTGCGCTACAGAAGTGGCTCATGGAAAGACAATCGCCAGAATCTGTTCAACATTCCTTCAGATTCCAGATAGGGATGATGCCTCGCTAGGACCAGAGGAAAGATATGAAACATCAGGTTTACATACGTTCTATGCATGATAGGAATCGGGCACTCATGAGTTTCACAAATTATGTGAGTCCGTGACTGTTGCGTCGTGGTAATTTTGACTCGTGCCAGAACACACCTCTTAGGATTTCTACACCGCGAACCAATGTGACTAGTGCGCCCTTGCAAACCTCAATCGTGTCAGAACGCCCTGCCTGGGACCTGAACCCTGCGAATTCTTTGAGCTGGTTGAAACTGTTAAGACGAATATTCGTGGCGCTTAGTCGAGAGCCACCTGTTGGAAAGGAGCTGGCTTCCATTCTTGAATTTCTTGGAAATGTTGTAAACGAGTGCGCGCGGCGCTGAAGATGAACTCCATTTTGACAACGGCCCGCCCTCCATCTTTGAAACCGCTGCAAAATTATACGACG